AGAGAGAGAGCATGTTACTATCTAGTTTCGTTCTATTTCATTCTTTTCCCCCTAGTTTTTACTTGAAAAGCAACAAGCGCCCAAGTCAAATTTCTGATCATGTCACTCTCTTTTTCTTTACTTTAATCAAAATTTGAAGAAAGAAAAAACCCTCCTCAGGCGCTCCAGGATTTAAGATCGACGCCCATGCCAGTTGTCAGACTCCGCAGTCTGTGGGTCTACTTCTGGGTCTGTCTCTTTAGTCGGGTATGGCAGAAACATCCGATGCCGCTGGCTCTGCCACAATAAGCACGGACGTCTTTTGATGGACAGTTGAACTGCTGATGGGATTTCTTTCCCCTATGCATATTTTTCTCATATTGCTGAGCATGCGATTTCTGGCGATCCTTTTGGGCCTCGCGTGTCTGCGTCAGTGCAGAACGGTGAGGTAACTGCTTCTAGAGTGTCGGGATCAATACCAGAAGAAAGGGAAACCTTGGAGTTCCGTCTTGATTTATCTTCTAGGTTTTCGTTATCAGTGGCCCATTTATATTTTTCTACCAGATCTCTACAGAGAAGGTCGGAGGGCGTCTGATCGTTCCCATTATCACATGACGTGGTAGAGAAAAAAATGCTTCTGTTTCCCTTTGAAGCAAATGTACTGCAAAGAATACTTTTCAACTCTTTGAGGGCGTTCTGTTTAGCTGTACTTTGAAAAACGAATCGTAACTTCGTCTGTCATATTGATTTTTCAACTGTTTTCTTTATTTCTGAAACTTAAACTTAAAGGGGCAGGCAACCAACGTGCGTAAAATGAAATATGCAAATTTGGGTTTACTGATTTGAGTATGATGGTCCAAAATGTATCCAAACAGTGCTGTTGGTCTGCATGCTGGCTGGTCAAACATACTATGTGCCCCCCCCCCCTTTCCACCCCTCCTACGTCTTTTAAGAGTTGATGTACAAGGCTATTTTTGTGAAGTTTAAACTCAATGGCAGGTTGTAGCTCATCTGCTCATTTGTCACACCTCACTCACCTTGTACGACAAAGGAACACACGCGCCTCGAGCGCGAGTACATGTTCTCTTTTCTTTCACCCAACTCCTGCCACAATCTTCCGGTTTCTTGCACCTGCGCACACGAGTTTGTTCACACTTCCGACTGCACGAAGACCACTGAAATCGAAAGAAGACAATGCGAGTCGGTGAAATCATGACTGTAATGAACACCTAAGTTTAAAAGATTTCTTCTTTTCGTATATAACAAGTAATGTATAATATACAATGGCATTATTAAGAAACGCTGCAGCAAAAGCACAGACGCTCACGCGCATACGCGCACACGAGCACACGATCACCAATGAGAGACATGCGAATATGTTGACACGTACATGTGCATCCTCGTATTGACAGGCACCACCCCAATAACACACACACACACACACACACACACAC